AGAATCTCTTGGAGTTGGAGTATATCAGTAGACTGCCAATTGTGTATAGGAATATGAGATGTATGTGCGTTGGTCCCTTTGAATGGGGTAAGGACCTAACGATGTTCGGCTATGAAGTTAATGAAAATTGACTGCTAAATAGGAATGCACAGTTGAATGTGATTGTCGAGTTTGAAGGTGTAAAGTTAATTGATTAAGGCCTTGATGTGGTTGGTCGTTAGTTGGATAGGGAATATAACCTTGATTAAATCATTGGGGTTTAAATTAATGATGTTACATTCCTGAGGTAAAGATACTAAAACCAATAAGCTACGGGCCTTTCTGTAACACATTCACAAGTTTAGTTCTTTTTATGCATGTTCTTAACATTTGTGACATCACCCATTGATCTTACAAACTATGAAGGCACCCTCAAGCTTTTTGGGGATTCTTCAGTGAAGAAACGGAGAAAATTTTAACTTTTAGCGTATAATTATCGCAAAGAGTATTTTTGGAGGGTAATGAAGCGTTAGCTCTGGTACAATAACTAAGACAGTCTTCTTGGACATTTCATGGAACTAAGTATAAGGAAGAAATTTAAGGCGATATGAATGTCTAGAATGTGTATGATTGAGAGGAAAATCTAAAAGTGGCATGCATGCTTCAATGGTTTTCCTTCTCATCCCAAGTTATAATGGCAATTCATCTTACATGTTAACTGGAGTCTTATAAATTCTGTAACTCCTTTGTAATCTCGTGCAGTCTCATTGTGTTTAGTCATCTTTGAACTCCTTAGTATGTTTTCACCCGAGAACATTAAGTGTGATTGTTGTGTGGGGGTGCCTCTGTTAGTCCTTGACATACCAGGAGGCTTTAAGATCTGATGACTCCTGATGCAGTGTAGTATATTAATTTTTTTTTTTAATTATTTCGAATGCTTTGACACAGGTCCTTAATATAGTTGTTGAGTACTTGTTTGAAGGGCATCCCATCAGCCAGAAAAAGCTCAAGGAATTCCTTGGGCATACTCCCTCCCAGGTTATTGGTGGAGTTCTCCTGGGCATTTTGGCCGCTTGCTTTTGTTGTCAGGGAGCTTGGTTGCCACCTAAACTGACCCTGCAGGTAATTTCGGTCATATTTTTGTTGAAACACGTACCATTTTGGTGTAGGCATGGCCAGATAAATCGTTGTACATTAATTCTTCATTCAATTCCGGAGATACTATGGTTCAAAAAGTTGATGATAGCAATGTTATTACTTTGCCCCTCGCAAAACCGATTCCCGGCTTCTAACTAACTGAACAAATTTGAGAAATGTATTCACAGGGCGGGAAATTTGTTGTAAGATGTATCAGAATTCCAAAGAATACCTAACGAAAGTTGACCGCATAATGTACGATGAACGGCTATGATATAAGGATCCTTAGGATCCCCACAAAAAGGATTTGAAGGCCTGAAACCTAGCTTGAAAGAGGACTGTTTTACATAATTTCACCTTGTGAAAATTCAGTGACCTAATTTTATCACTCAGAACATCAACACCGAGACTTTAGTCACACAAATTTGAAGAGACATATTTGCGATTCCAAATTCCATTTGGGAGAATTGAAGTATGCTTCCTCTTGACAAAAACAAACCTTGAGTTTGGGAATGACTGAATTCATATGGTAATGGGTTACTAATGTCACAAGGAAAATTACTTTAAATAGAGCCTCTTTGAGGCGGGAAATTTGGAAGGAAAAAAAAATAGTAATGAGGGAGGAAAGCTGAAATAAATTTAAGAAAATTATTAAATATTGGAAAGGAAATTTGAGATTGGGCCTTTTGGAGGAGAATGCCTTAGGTGCGGCAGTTGCACTTGGATTGGGGTGTGTGAGAGGGGGTGGCGACCAAGGTGGGGTGGGTCATGGGCTTTAAGATTAGGGGATGAGGTATTAGGGGGACTAGGATTCTCTCCTGATCCGCCGGATTAACCTATTCTGACCATCCAAACATCGTGCAGCCAGTAGTCAACAAGAAGCAGCAAGTACCCTCTCCCTTCCACTCGTGCTTCTCCATCCCCTCTCTTCCCGTATCTCAAACTCAAACCCCATAAACTCAGCCCCTCCAATAACTAAAGAAAAGCTACCCAAGAAAGGCAATAAGGAAGAGAAACCAGATCATACAGCGGATACAAGATTTATCGGCTAGCCATGAGAGCCAAGAAAAGCACCGTACCTCTAAAGCTTCAATTACGAAGAGAGAAAAAGAAGAGAAGAAGATGACATAAGGACGGGCTACTACTGCGTTTCTCATGAAAAAATCAAAAAGTGAAATAAATTGATTCATGGCCGCTAGGTCTAATGCCAACGGTCAAGATTCTTGATCCTGAGGATTCGAAGAGAATCCAATTCCGTATTGGGGTTTTATTGTGTCTGTTTCTATAGAGACACGTGGTTGGTCTCTAAACAATCATTTTGTGAAATTCTCTTGTTTCTATTTATTTACATTAATCTAACATGTAATATAATTTTTTTTGAAGTCCCTCCGAATCGAGGGACCTATGCCGTCACACTCTCTGTCCATAGGAAAGGGCGACCTTGACTAAATGGCTCTTCCTTTCTATAAGTGGTTGATTGCTCTGGTGATTAAGATTTGTTTTTTTTTTTTTTTTTTTTTTTTTGAACTTACTGCATCTTGAGTCTAAACCATCACCCATCTTCTTATTAAAATTATGGTAGTAATATTGCTTATTAAAGAGCTCGTGAGTCATGGAAGAGTAAATTGGTGAGTTAAGATCATGATAAGTTAAGCATAAGCTCCTTTTAATGTACGAGAGCAGAAGTGATATACTAAACCACCTCCTTTTATGAAGCAACTTAGAAGTAATTAAGAACATATATTCTACGTATGATTTAGATACCAAATAACTTGGGAGTTGGGTTGCTTTCTATTCTTTATATTTTGATGAGAAAACTGTGACCAACAAGAGTAAAGGCGTTGGCCACTAAAAAGAGTACAGTAGTTGCATGTGCTCATTTAGCTGACACGAGCTCGACTACCGTTTGTTTACAAACTGACTGTATCAAACAAGATACGTGTGTGTATTATTTTTCAACTAACGGCCCCAATGGGAAGTTATTTTGAACGGAACGAACAATGAGCCTCAAAGATTTCAAAAGTGCTTTACATGTGGCATTGTGGGCGGCAAACTCTCTTTCACATTGAACAAGTTAACTCAGTCAATTTTTACAGAAGAGAAGATGCTTATGGATGGCATTGTGTTAGCTTTGAGAGGATAATGCTCAAGTTGCATTGTAAATTCTTATGATGTGGCAGAAGTCACATCAGCAATTGGGAACATAGAGGATTGTTTTGAGAATAAAAGGCTAAATTGAAAGAAATGCATGTTCTATAAAAGATCGCGAAAAGGTAAGGACACTCAACTCACAACATAAAAAGACTTTAAAACTCTGCAACCTACGTTTTTCAAATTTCTTTTATAATTCCAACACCTTTGCAATTGTATTTATGTTTAAAGCATGACAAGTACTGACAATGGGTCCACATCGAAAAATCTTTGGAATAAAAACTTATACATGTCTTCATTTCATTGGCACGGTATGCCACCTTGGCAGTGTACGCGTGCTATGTTAGTCATTCTCGTTTATTTCTCTCATCACATAACTGGGTGTAAAAGAAATATGCATCAACAGAAAGGTAATCCATCGATGTGAGAATACTTAGATGAGAAATTAAGAGGGTAATCAAAAAGTCTTGAGATAACGTGATGAGAGAGATAGAGAAATGAAAATGACAATTTTTTAATGTAATTTAGGAGTATTCTTCTTAGACTATTTCCTATTACGTGACTCTTGACTAAACATAAGCAAGCTAGCGTGTAACTCATTTTACCCAAACCCAAATTCTTTCCAAAATTGGACTGATACCAATTAGTCCTGATTGCAAAGTCCAAAATGATAATTATACTTGATCCACCCAACTAATGCTATGGAGACTAACTAAGTAAATTATGTGATGTGTTACTAATAAGAAATAAGTACATTAATTAACATTTAAGTAGTAATTTAACATCAACAACCACGTCATACGATTTACAAAATTTAGTTTAAATAATTAATCTCCCTAGTATTACCCTTCTTAAAAATTATTATCATAACTTTTTAGTCAAACGCAAAGTTGTTTTATATATATATATAATCAAATACGAATAGTTACATTAACAACAACGGTGAGAGTACTGAAAAGCCAAATTGGTTCAAAATCATCCCACCAATACAAGGTATGTTCTCGAAAGACAAACTCAGCCACCGCATGTTCAGCTTTGTTGCAACTGCAAGGAGCAAAACCAAACGCCACGATTTGTAAATAGGAAGCAAGGACCCTAATGTCATGGATGATCACTTGATTCTCTTCTACTGACATCACCTTATCAGTCACTAACATGATCTCTAAAGCTATTTATTATTCTAATTCTCTAAAAACTTTCGGGTAAAAACATAAAAAAACTCAATTCTTTTCCCAAATAATTGCAAGTCATGGATTGGTGGCCTCTCCTCGGTGCTTGCCAGCGGGGGGATTAGGTCATCCAAATTTTTAATTTCTATTGTTTCTGGTACAACAGGGCAACTTTGTATTTCAAATTTCAAATAATGTGGCAATAGGACCCTACCAATCACTAAATGTTTGAATTTGCAACCTCACTTTCTTAAATTCAAGTTGAACAAAAATGAAAATTGAATTCAACAGTCTTTGTCTTCTATGTACCTATTTTTATTTTATATAATTTTTTAATTTTTTATTGTAAAATCAAATAAATTGAAAAAAATATATGAAAGACAAAAATGAGTGTGAATAGAATTTTTTTTTTTTGTTTTTTTTTTTTTACCCGGTCGTTTATGGTTATTTCCAAACAAACTCATAACTCATTCGCGGATTAATCAGGTGTAATACACGTGGCATTCCCTAATTGGGCAAGCCACGCAACTGAAGGGGATTTGAACTTGGTGAGCCCTGCAACCATCTGTCGTGTCGTAATGCTTCTGCGAACATTCCCAGGGCACTTTGATAAAGTAACTATTCGTCGTCAAAATCCAACACCTCAACCCTCCACTCCTCCCATCTCACAGGCTGCTGCACGCGTCTTCCTTCCCTTTCCTCTCTCCCATTTTCCCTCGGTTTTACAAACCCTAGCTGCTACACGACCTATCGCCAATCGAGCTGAATTCTTCTCGGTCACTCCCTGCTTTCCGGTTCTTCCTTCTTGGTAAGAATCGTGATCCATCTTTGTTGTTGATTTGCCCCTTTTTTTATTGGTATTTTGTTGGGTCCGATTTCTGGGGTTTTTGTTTTGCCGATTGGTTTGTGGGTTGTTGGATTTTTACTTGGGATTTGTAATTTTGGTTTGCAGGTGATGGATTTATAGGGGTTGGATCCGCGGGTACTTTTTCCCTTTCCGTTTGGAGGGGAGGAGGGTATTCAAGTTTGTTCCTTTTGCTGTATGGTTTGTGAGAATTGAATCTAGGGTATTGTTTGATCATCTGGGTATCAATCGGGTGGTCAATTTAGGGTTAGATATGGCTGCATTCTTGTAAATATGTGTATAGTTTTCCTAGGGTTTGAAAGTTCTGCATTGATTTGAAGAGCATTTTGACTTTGTTGGAAAATTTAGAATTAAGAGCATAATGTCGTCAGCCGGTATTGCTGTTCTTACTCCGGTTCACAGTGAGCCCCCGTTTCCCCAATCGTGTATGTCTTCGGATGAATCGATATTGCTATGTCTCTCTGTGTTTGGGTCAACTACTCCTCTGTGTGTTTTGGGATCGGACTCTATTGAATCAGTGAAGCTTAGGATACAAACCTACAAAGGGTTTGTTGCTAAGAAGCAAAAGTTAGTTTGTGGAGGTAGAGAGCTGGCTAGGAGCAATTCCATACTCCGGGAATACGGGATCACTGATGGGAATATTCTACATTTGGTCCTTAGGCTTTCTGACCTTCAAGAGATCAATGTCCAAACGACTTGCGGGAAAGAGTTTACCTTCCATGTGGAACGTGGTCAAGATGTTGGATATGTGAAGCAAAAGATTGCAAAGAAGAGTAAAGAGTTTGTTGATCTAGAAGAACAAGAAGTTGTATATGATGGAAAACTACTTGAAGATCAGAGACTTATTGATGACATATGTAAACATAATGATGCTGTCTTACATCTGTTGGTCCGGAAGTCTGCAAAAGTTAGGGCCAGACCAGTTGAGAAGAACTTTGAATTGTCAGTTGTGGCGTCACAGTTGGATGATGGGAAAAACTATGAAGTTGGTGGAGATAATGTGAAGCGACAATATGATGCTGGTCAGCATGACTTTAAGAGAGATTATGAAGTTGTGCCAAAAAAACCTCCTGACAGGGGATTTTTGTTGGAGCCTGTCATTGTTAACCCCAAGATTGAATTACCTTCGCAGATTTGGGATATGGTTGATGGCACGTCTGACGGACTAGATAGTGGGAGTTATCCAATCAGGTCCATGGAGGGTACAGGAGGAGCGTACTTTATGCTAGACTCGTCAGGTCAAAGTATGTATCTGTTTTTAAGCCGATTGATGAGGAGCCTATGGCTCAAAACAATCCGAGGGGGCTGCCATTGTCATTGGATGGTGAAGGATTGAAAAAGGGAACAAGAGTTGGAGAAGGAGCATTTAGGGAAGTGGCAGCTTACCTCTTGGATCATCCAATGGGTGGATATCGCATGCCCTGTGGCAATGCAAAGGGCTTTGCTGGGGTCCCCCTACATTTATTGTCAAGTGCTTCCACAAAGTGTTCAACCATCCTGGGGATGCAACTGTTAAGATCGGGTCCTTGCAGAAGTTCATGGAGAATAGTGGAAGTTGCGAAGACATGGGCCCTGCTGCTTTCCCAACTGAGGAAGTGCATAAGATTTCTGTTTTAGATATCAGATTGGCAAATGCGGACAGGCATGCTGGAAACATTTTGCTGGGCAAAGAGGGTGAAGATGGCCAGACTGTGCTGATTCCAATTGATCATGGCTACTGCTTACCTGAAACAGTAAGTACATTCACTGCAACTTTTATTAACTGGCAGTGATTTGTCTTTGTTGTCATTGTTGTTATTGTGTTTGGAGTTTCTTTTCTCGTTTTCATGAACTTTGTCGCATCTTATATTCATCAGCACATTGCCATGATATTATCTTGGAGATTTATTTTCATTTTGTTTTCTGATATTGTACTACTAATTTCTTGTGTATTATCTTGTTCCCGCAGTTTGAAGACATTACATTTGACTGGTTGTATTGGCCACAAGCACGCAAGCCTTATGCTAACGAGGTCATTGATTACATCAAATCACTGGATGCAGAAGAAGATATTGCCATTTTGAAGTTCCATGGATGGGACATGCCCCGCAAATGTGCTCGCACACTTTGCATTTCAACGATGCTGTTGAAGAAAGGGGCAGAGAGACAGTTCACTCCCTTTGCTATAGGAAACATAATGTGCAGAAAAACCCTGAACAAGGAATCCATCATTGAGGAGATAGTGCAAGAAGCAGAGGATTCTGTGCTCCCGGATTCAAGTGAAGATGCTTTTCTTGAGACCGTGTCCCAAATTATGGACCGTCGCCTTGATGAGATTGCAAGATCACTTTGGTAATGGGATGCTGAATCATGTGGAGAACATAGGTATATAAAGTGTGTATATGACCATGTGACTAGCGTACATATGTTTGTCCATACACCTTCAATTTCGTATTATCGACCACACTTCCTTTCGTATTCGTGCTTTTCATTACAGACCAAAATCCAGTTTCGTTGTGGTTCGTTCGTGACAATCTCTAATCCGTTTGTAACAGCACCTGAAGTTTGTGTTGAAGACAGAGATTTCACTTGTTAGGTTTGGGATGTTTTTTTGTTTCATATGAGATGAGACAAGTATTTTATATTTTGATAAATGTTTAAGAATAAGATAGGAAAATGGCAATTTGTTGGCATTGGGTTTTTAATCTTTTAATAAATAAATTTTGTAGAAAAGGATAAGACGAGACTAGCTCATCGTTAACAGTCACATGCGAGGAGGTGATACAATAGAACTATTTCGGTTTTAATGAGTTAAATGAGCCTTATGATTTTGTTGGAAATCTACATGTCGATGCGGAAAATCTACAATCCAATGCTATAGTGAAACGTAACACATGCTCATCACTTTCTTCTACTCCATTAAAACTCCGGTGCACTTAACACTGTAAGTTGAATTCTGAGAAACTCGAAAATAACCCTGTAAGTTGAATTCTGAGTACTGGTTTGGTACTAAGGTGTCTTGGTAAACTTTCAACTTCATCTTTTTTTCAAAGTTTTGGATGAAAAAAAAAAGCCAAAAACAGAACCAACAAAAGCTAGCTTTGAAAAATCGACTATTTTTGCTTCCACAGCTTCTGCGCAAACCTAATTTGCAAGAGGCGCTGTGTCCTTTAATGAAACTTTCAAATAACCAAAATGGTCTTAAAAAATTAAATAAAGTACACATAATACCAACTGGAAGACATCGCCGACTTCAATTGGGAGATCGTCCTCATTGACTCTACCACAGCGATGTTCACTCCTAGCTTCAACAATCACCGTTATTGACCTTGGACTCCATACCCTACGACATCGTTTCTATCTCTGTCATTTCACCCATCTCTCGTTCGTCCTCTCTCACTCCCACGCCGACAAAATCACGTCGAGAAACTCCACCATCTTTTCTAGTGATAACCAGACTCGGATTCAGATTCGGTTTTGGCATTGCGAACTTGCCCAGATTTCTCATATTGCATTGCTTGCAAGAGACTGATCTTCGTATTTCTACAAATTAGGAGAGCCCAGATTTCTCATATTGCACTGCTTGAGGAAGAAAAATGCAGTGAGACAAGTGAGAGAGATTGAGGAACAACCCATCAAAGACAGCATAGTCACGGCATTGGCGCCTTCAGAATCCACAGAGATGAAAATAAAAAAGAAGAAGATGGAGCAGAAAAAATAAAAACTGAGAAAATTGGGGTGGTGGGGAGACTTCTAGAGAGATTTTTTTGGTTTTTGGAAAAGTCTGGTCGATGCAAATGGAGAAAATACAGGAGGAAGACTTTAGAGAGAGTATTAATAAATAAAATTATTATTCTTTATTTTTTGTCAAATATAAAGAAAATTATTCTTATTTTTCATTTAATATCATACTCATTTTTGTCATTTGACATAGTCGGCAGCTTTATATAAAAGTTTATCAAACATCCTTACACTTAAAGCTCTTTTATAAAAAATAAAAAATAAAAGTTTATCAAACACTCAACTGCTTTATTTTACAACTGTTTATTCTCACAACACAGCAGAATCAGTTTTTTTTAAAAAACACAGCAATACCAAACTAGCCTTGAGAAACCCGAAAATGAGCCGCTGCTTTTTTCCGGCTTGTGAAATTAAGCCGGAATTACAGTAAGATAAAAGCGCCAAACACAATGAGGTTGGATATTTATTCACAAATCAACACAGAATATAGGAATTAATGTTTTAAGGAACCAGCTCCGTTGCTGCAAGTGACCAGATCCGCGCCCGCATCAGTCGATGCTGTGGAAGGCCCTCCTGAGTCAAAGATAAGAGCTTTTGCACCTCTGCAATAGAGACACTCCGAGTCGGGATTGAGAGCTAGCTGAACTAAAATGTCCAGTCTTTGGGTGAGAAGAAGGGGCAACATGTACATTTTACTAGTGCAACTTCTGCTCCGGTATAAGAATGGGCGAAACGGTGAATTGGGTAAAAGGTAACCTGAAAGGTAATTGCTTGGCACCAAGTCATGGAGCTCCGGCTACTTGTACAGAGTTTGTCAGGCGTTTGTGCGTGCATCCAGAGTAAGAATGTGGACTTGTTGAGTTTGACATTACCATGAACTTCTTTCATGGTTGAGTACTGTTGTCCCTCGGAATATGTATATGACGAAGCATCACCTTTCTTTCTTGCTGGGCTACTTCAGCTTCTTCTTTGATCTTTTTCTGCAATCAAAGATATAGAGATGTAAGAAAATGTTCATACTCACAAAATAAAATGCAATGATATAAAATAGCACGAATCAATGCTTTAGTGTTCCGTGCTTGTTAAGTATTGCATGGAAACAACTCCTTCAGAATGAAGGACTTACTTCTTAGCGGGCTTGCCACTGAAACCAATTGCACTTTTCATTGTTTGTGTTGGTCTTTTTCTGCCATCAAGACAGCCAGGATACAAAAATGTGACCACTTCAAAACAGAATACAAGGAAATCGTGCAAATACACCCTTTATCAACGAGCTTATATCCATAGAGCGCTCCCGCATGATCCTATCATGGTAGATCTCACTGATCTGTTCCTCTACTTCTTCCAAAGTTTGGTCCACATTGAGCGGAAGCTCTCCTTTCCTAATGACAGTTACACCGAAGCCATTTGTTTTGGCTTCCCGAAAAACATCTTGGAGAGAAGATAAGTGGACATTCAGATAAATCGGTAACCCACCTCGACAGATCAATAAAAATTAGACTGAACAATTGAAAGGGTACAATTGAACATATGAAAACTATGGAGCATTAGATCTCAAGTCTCTTGACTTAAAATGAAAAAACATTACAAGTACTGTTAACTGAGTGATATTGAAAACACAAATCGCCGTTCCACCTAAGTTGGCCTCTCTTGAGAGAAGATAATTTGCTAAGACTATGAAGTATGAATTGCAGGGAAATTTCCAATAGCTGCAACTGAAGAATGATGATCTACCTGAAACATTACATTCAGAACTGAAAACAAATTAATTCTTTACCTTAGGTTGCTGGGCAACAACAAAGGCATAGCCATTCCCAAGTGTTTCCGTTTGAGGCTGGATGATATAACCAAGATTTTTGCAATCATTACTGTCCTCGAAAGCAATCACATGGTATGGCTTTGGTTTCAATTCAAGATCCGCAGCCATCTCCAATGAATAAAATCCAATCCTTTGTTCTTCATTATCAACTGTGTACAGCTCAATGCACTGGAAAATACAAGAGAATTAACTACTGGTTGAGTATTGATAAAAATATCTATATAAAGCGTAGAATCAAGGCGGACAAATATATTGGGAATAAGGATTAGAGGTTTGAAACTCAGGTCCTCCCGGAAATTTAATATAGTGTGTTAGACAACAACTTCCAGAAGATGAAACTTTCATCTTTCATCCATTCAAGTTCGCTGTCATCTTCTTCGTTAGATCCAAGCTGTCTCATGTCCGAACTCATAATTGACTCTTGATCTGCTTTTCCTCTTGAAACCATGCAATTATCTCTAAAACCAACTCCAATCTTCTTAGCTATAGGTTCAAATTCATTAAAGTTTTCCTCCATCCACTTCTCATATTTAACAGATGGTTCTATCATTGAATCACTGTTACTACTTTCATGATCTAAAGAAACCTGTTGCTTTTGATCATTGTCCATGAAGTGTCTTTTCTTGGTTTCATCAGGTTTATCACTCTTTATACCTTCAAATTTGTCATCCTTCAGATCATAATCTTCGAAAGCATTTTCGGTAGACGGAGGATCTGATGTTTCATTTGGAACCACAGAAGCTAAATCATTGTTGACCACGAACACTCCCTGGCTTCCAATGTTACCAAAGTCTTTAGCACTTTGTAGCCTTCCAAGAACATCACTTCTAGGGACGGGTTCAAAACGGGGCTCTCCATTTAGCTTTGTTTTGTCATCTTGTTTAGAAAGATACTCCCTAGCTTCTTTCACTGACCTTATGACCGTTGGTTTTACTTGCTGGACTTTCTGGACTCCCTAAAAGGACCATTGTCTGGTAAGTGTAAATTCTGTTCAGAGTCTGTTACATCCTGGTTAGTGCTTTCCCGATCATCTGAAACTTCTATATTCGAAATACTAAAAGTTTGATTATTCCCATCCTCAACAAAGTTTGACTTTTTACTAGAAGAAGTTTCATCACTATCCTCACTATGCCTGAAATCTCAATTTACAAGGTTGGGTAGAATATTTTCTTGCTCGTCTCCATGCCGTTTGACAGCGTCTGTTTCATCCGAAATTTCATTTACAGTTTCATCAGAAATTTCATCATTCAGAGTCTGAAAATTGTTTCTGTCCCTATCCCCGATCTCAATTTGTCGCGCTTGCCTGGCCATATTTCTTATACTTATTTCCTGAACTGTATCATCAAAAGCAGTGGTCATGGAACTTGGAGAAACTTGTAGAGCTGGGTTACCATTTGACGATTTTCCTCTGCCAGTAACTTTCATAAGTTCAAAGCTGCTTGAACAACTTCCACACTGCTCGGTTCTAACATCTCTTTCTCCTTTCTTGCTTTGATCTTTCTCCTCATCATTTCCTTCTCCAATTCCGAGTACCGCTCTTCTTTATTTCCAAAAGTGAATAACTTCTTCAATGCCCACAACGCAATGAAACCATACAACACCAATCTCCCAACTCGAGATAGCTTTGGTATCAACTCCGATCCAAGAGTAAAACCCTGAATCGCCTTCACAAGACCCTCACCCTCATTAACGAACTTGGCTATGGAACTATTCCTCGGAATCCCATTGTTCCCTCTTTCCATCTCTCTAGCTAAACTCTCCGCCTGCAAATTTTTCAAGTTCACCTCCGCCGAGCCCTCCAGTTCACCTCCGTTCTTCCTCAGCGAGTTTCTGCGGCTGGTGGGCCCACCGAACGAAACTTTCTGCTGTTACAGGAGAGTAAATAGATGGAAAATGATGGGGTTCTGTAGAGATCGAAGGTGGGAATGTTGTATCGAAATTGGGTCTTCTTGTTCGGAGAATTGGCCTGAAATTTGGAAGGGAAAGGTGAAGAAAGAGAGGGAAACTCCATGGATGAAGATTGAGAGGTTACATAAAGCGAAGGGATTCAGAGCTTTGGCGGAGATTTTGGGGAGGTTTTTCAGCATCTCGTCACACGTCGTTCGGGAAGGAGAACGACATGTAACATATGTCGTTTAATTAGAGATTTCAAAAGCTTTATAGGAAGTTTTTTGTGAACAAATATGATGTTTACTATACCTTTTATACACTCTACACATTAATATGCCTATGTGGAGTAGTAGTAGTAGTTAAGTACTTACATATAATATAACGGGAATAATATTGTATCAGTATTTTAAGTTTATCATTTACCATTATGCGTTTACATAATGATTAGTTTGAAATACCGCCACAATGACATCTCGTTGCATGTAAGTTTCTCTCGTGAAATTTATGCATATACCGCTCACAATGCAAAAAGGTCAAATTTTCCTGCCCACATGGACAACTAACGATGACGAAATACATGTGACGGATTGCCAATAAAGTATAAACATTCTCCCTGGTTACCGATGTAAATTTTGTGGTCTTATCTTACAGCTTAAACTCCATGCCTAGGGCTAGCAACCATGGCCTCAACTCTGATATTCTCCCTCCTCATTTGATCATCATACCTCCGTCGTCCATGTCTTCTCCTGAGACACCAGTCCAAGGTTTCAAGGCACGTCTCATTCACCACGACTCTCCTCAATCTCCGCTCTACAACCCCAAGGCCACACCTGCTAGCCGCATCAAATCAGCTCCTCGCATTTCCATCAGCGTGCAGATCGATAGAGACCATGAAGAAGTGATTGATAGAGACGATGGAGGCTACATCATGAGGTACAAAGTTGGCACAACAAGAGTCGACACCATTGGGATTTTTCGACACGGCCAGCGATTTAATTTGGTTTCAGTGTAAGCCTTGTGAAAAATGCTACGAAAAAGGCATACCACTACTTGATCCGGCAAACACAGGACATTGTCAGGGAGACCATGATGCTTGAACATGATGGATTAAGTGGTAACATTAACTAATGTCGAAACAATACCATCATCCACCAGGAGTTGTGGGACTTAGCAGAGAGCCTTCTTCACTTGTCTGTCAGATTTCGTACCTCCACCTCTCGTATTGCATTTCATTCGAAAATAATGGTACCTAGAACAACAGCAACGTGAAATTTGGTCTTTACTATCTTAAGCTCAGACTGCATAGAATGGCGCAATGCTAAATGTTTCGAGTTCAGTTTTTAATATGACCGCAGGTGGAGATGGAGGTGTTTTCGTGGACTCGGCAACAACTTATACCATATGCTTGCATTTGAAGCTTTTGGTGAGCTGGAGAAGGTAATCGTGAATGCCTTATCCGATTGCCATAGTTTGTTACGACGATAGCCGGTTTCAAGTGGATAAAACGCCGGATATCGTGTTTCATTTCACGAGACTTTCCGGCGACTGCGGATAACGCTTGGGCTATGAATTCTCAAGGACAATACCTGCCTGGTTCCAACAGCGGATGAAGTTTGGCCCTTCGTGGCAGATCTTTGCTACTTCCATAAATGGTTCCCAAATCTTGACACTTGTCAACTAGAGGGAGTACTCCGCAAACCTGGCCTGATACGGTACAGCGCAATCTACTCCGATGCCTTCGCTTCAACATCATCATCTGCCGATCAGGTGACGATCACAGATTGATCCGGTGGGAGAAAGAGAAGCTACTGACATTTGATCCAATCGAACGACGTTTGAGTCATGAGATCATGGATAATAACATGGGGATTAGATCCTTTGTTGCAACCATGCAACTACTGCCCATCAACGACCACGATGATGCCAACCGTGGCTGCAAGATCGAGTGGTCGTTTTGTTTGTGATCCAATTGAAGGATGGAGATTTGAAGACTTTTGTATCATGTGTATGTGTTGGCTCTTCTCTCCAATCAATGGAAAAGATGGAGCAGGCTCTTCTATTTACTACGTGAACGTTGACCCCTTCTTAACACATTATATTGGGGGTGGGAATTGGGCTATGACATCCGATTGGCGGTCATAATTTGGTGTCGCACTCGCTATTCAGAACTGAAGGAAAACTGAATTTGAAATCCCTCGCTTACAAGTAAGGAGAAATGTGAGCCCTTTGTATATACAAATTGAAATTTGGAAATACATTAAGTTGGAATATCATTAAAGCTGTGACCTAATCTGAATTGTTTATGATCTATTTATATTTCAGGCCTAGTGTTTTCCAGCAAAAAGAAACAAATTCCAACCTCACACAGATGTACATATATTTTCAAGTTTTTTTTTCTCGTTTCTCTCAACCTCTCATGGAAAAAGAAGCACAGAGAGTCATCAAAATGGCAAGGAAAACACTCTCGGAATAGAGGGAGTCCCTGGCCAATCCGGTCTAATCCACTACTGTACAGCGACACCATCTGATGATCATGAGACGATCAACCTATATCTACTGCACTAAACAAAAGCTGCTGCTGATGAAACATACGGTATTTGAGCTTCGAGATCGTTTGCCATCAAAGACTTCAATGGCAACCCCAAAGGATGCAACATTAAGTGCTGGAGAGACTTAAAGATTACGTATCTTATCTCTGCTTTTGCCCCCGATTCATAGCAAACATGATGGTTGAAAGTGAAACGATGACTCCTCACTGATCTACTTGTTTAGGTTTCATCTGACTCAACGTTGAGCTTTGTATATCAAATAAAGTCAAGTAATTCCAAGACAAGTAAAGGAGTGATCGTAGGATAAAAGCTTATGGTTTTTCTATCTTTGACATTGATACATACCTACCAAGTATATAAACTGACACCCCAAGCTCTAGCTGTCTCACCAACTGCTTATCAGTCAGTTTGAACTGCAATCGTACATGGTACTTCACAAACTTTCGCCCCTGAAACGTAGAAAAAATTATAAGCCTAAGGGACATAATGGATTGTTTCATAACTTAGGAACTAAAGTGAAAGCTGTCAAGGTTCTAATCATCATAAGTTTCCCTTCGTTTTACCTTAACAAGCTATACCCTAGGATACACCAGTCTGTCTCACCCCCTTCCTTATCTCTCCATTTAAACAACAACGGTGTGAGCCGTGCTTGGACTATAATGCCATTGAGCAAAGTTCAATTGGTTTTTGAGAAATTATGGACAGGTGTCATGATTGTTAATCTAATACTAATATCAAACTCTAACCAAGACTCCATCAAGACAACAGTTTCGTGTTTCAGCTTTAAGAGGATAACTGGAAGCTTAACAGACTAAGTACAAAGCCTCCAGCATTGAAACGTTATAATCCAATAAAAGAATCCTTAAAAGGTTAATTCACTAATAACATTAAGATACTGTTTAGCACACAAATGAGGGAAAGAGAAATCCAACCAGGCTAGCTACAGAGAGGTATGCAGGTCCCACCTTCTGGGTTCTGCTGTTCCTTCCATATTCGTCCTGTGACCCGCAGCTTCAGCTCTTTCCTATCCCCGCCAGAGAAGAAAAGTGCCATGTTGCGCTGTATTATGAGGCCATCATGGCTGTCTCTAACCTTCTTGTGGCTATCCCTTATGCTTCTTGGGTTGCCCTCCCAAATCAGCTTTCGGCCATTTCCTCCAACCTCCAAGCTGTAGCTGTAGTTCCGAGCTTCTGCTTCATCCCCCATAAACCGGAGAAATGCCATGTAAACAGGAGCCATACCAAGCTGGAAGGCTTCAAAATGTAGACAGAAATACTGACCAAAACAGTGGAAGACCTATCAAGGATGAAAAATAAGACAATTAGTTTGCTACCATAACAAAGACCAAAGCATACATCTTCAATCTGCTATATAGTCCCAGCTTAATCCGTCTCAAGTATTGCTATCAAAGGTCCCATGATTCCTATCGTCCCATATTAACTGGGAAAGTTAAACCAATCAACTAAATCATGCACTTTTAATTGGGATAGTTAAACTAATCAGTTAAGTATTTATATTCTAATTGTGAAAGTTAAACCAAACAAAGTCTTATTCTCAATGGCTAATGATGCAATTCCAGTATTAACTTCACCTATCGCCCCCATAGGGAAACTGATGGTTTCTTGACTTATGCAACGTCTGCCTACTAATATCTAGCGTGAGGTGAGCAAACTAAGCAATTTTCATTCAGCCACGAGTTTTATACAAAGAGGGAGAAACATGTATGTACTTACAGTTAACATCCACGTGGCATTTTCTACTTCACGAGGATTAGACTTTACATAACGATGATTAAAAGTGCATCCGGAATGCATGTCCACCTTGTGATCATCCCGGAGATGAGAGACAAGGAATGGAATATCCCCAACAGTGGAGCAGTCTGATCCAGCATATGGACAGTTGTATGGTCTGAAGTTACAGACAGCCTCGTGTTTGAGTTTACTATAATAGGGAAATATCTCTGGGCACCCAAGAGAGCAATACTTGCAGGGCAGTTCAAGCGATTCAGCAACCTTCTCCAGTGCTAGACACCTTATGTCACCAAGCTCCTGTCTACAAGTTGGGCACCGGTTATGCACCCTTGCTTTACAGGTGGAACAAAGGGTATGCCCATTGTGACACTGCAGAAACAAATAGTTTAGATTTATAAGCCATAAAGGTCAACTAATCCTAGATGAATTTTACAAGCAGCTACATATTATTAAAAGAATCCCCATGCTTAGCCATCCCAAATAAATTTAAGGATAGCGATTCATTGAGTATCCCTTGATTCCAATAAGCTACAGAGTAGGTGGGGTAGGTCTACTCATCCGAACTATGCCACATAAACATCAAAACATGTCAACACCCTAACACTTAAAATGAAAGCCCGTGCGATGCATTACACCCCCAGCATAAAGTTCTGTGACTATAGCCTCTACAGCCATGAGAGATGTAAGAGTATGTGTGTGAGGCAGAGTAAAGTGCTCTAACAAAACAACCAATAAACTTCTGTCCTAAACCCTATTAATGAATAAATAGCATGGATCGGTGCACCCAATTTCAAGCATGATAGCTTTACACACATAAAATTTCTGCCCTAAACCCTATTAATGAATAAATAGGATGAACTCGGTCTACCCGATTTCAAGCACGATAGCTTTACGCAGATAAAGCACCCGAAGCATCTCTATCAATTGGTGGTAGTGTTACCGCTCCCCACCTGTCAGCCTGCTTCACCTTACAAACTAACTGATAAATATGTCGACACAAGCATATTCACCAACCCCAGGAAGTATCACGTTTACAAAATATTTTGAACGAAATCTGATTCTGTTCTTTAGTATTCCCTGTTACTAGGAGCTCCGGAAAAGCACTTATAAGTGAAGCAAGTTTCAAAATCTTACTAGCCAAACTAGAATTATTTTCGATTGTTGTTTGCCTAAAAATATAACAAGGATTATTTTTTCTTTATAACAAAATTCAGAAACTGAATATTATCTTTCACCTTCTAAATAATAGAATCCAATAAACCTACCAACCAAAACCCAGAAACACAATCACCCCTTAAAATTAAATCCCACAAAAATTCAAAATCTTCACAAAACAAAACAGGCAAAACAAAGATCAAAAGAAAGAAGGAAACCAATTGAGGAAATTGCAAGAAAGGGCGAACCTGATGGATTGGAGGGTACATTGAATTGGTGCAAACAGGGCATTCAAGAAGCTCGTGGACGCTGGTGGTGCCGGGAATGTTATTGCCGGTGTTGCTGTGCGCCTTCGGAACTGAAACAAACTGGTGAATCGGACGGCTATGGATCTCGTCATCGTCAATCAAATCCAAAGACGCAAGACTTTCAATGATGTCTGATTCCATTCTTCAATGGAGACAAAAATAAAAAAAACCAGCAACAATTTGGAAACCCAAAATAAAAAAATCAAAATTTGGGAAAAAAGATGAAATCTGTCGATTCTTTGACTGATGGGTATGATTCCCCAATACACAATTATACAAAATTGAATAAAAAACTGGAAGGGTAAAAAAAAAAAAGGACAATCCTGGATTGCAATGGGCGTAATAAGAAACCCAAAAATTTTATTTTATTTTTTCCACAAAAAGGTGTGCTTCTTCTTCTTCGTTGGTTTTACAGATAGAGAGACAAGAGATGGGTCACAGTCCAGATGACATCAGCCGTCTGATTAAGATCAAACGGGTATTACGTGTCCGTTTTCAGTTAAGGGTTTTTGAGTAGCGGTTTGATATGACTGGTAGGTTAATAGAATTACCGAGGGGATTTAATAGTAGGCTAGGTTAATTTAGGGAACTTAATTTTTAACTTTTCTGATTTGGTAATTAGCTGTTGTTAATGTGGAATTATGGGTTTCGTTTTAAGTTTTAACTGAATTTTTTTTTGGATGAGTAGTAAAAAACAATTAGCAAAATTGCTGTTTTTATGATTCGAATTGAACATGTGATCTTTCGAACACAAAAAAATAACTTTTATATATCGTCAAAGCTCAATCACCATCAAGTGAGAAGCCTTTAATTAGGGCCGGCCTTTTTAATAGAAGACCAGGGAGACAACGGGATGAATCTCCGGTTTATGTGGTGCACATTATTGTGCTCTATTTTATTTGAATTTTTTGGCCGACTGTGGGTCCTATTTTATCCTTATAAAAGTTGTACACTTGTTTGTGTTATTGGGCATAATTTTTTATATAAAGCTTTTTATATATGGATGTTATGATGGCAGTTTTGGTAACACATTGTTTTGTGATTAATTTGGAAGCATGAGTTGATTATGGCTTGTAGATTGATACCTTGTTGAATAAGGAATGTGGACTTTTTCACAATTTTATAATAACTTGGAAATGATGTTGAAATGCAGCTCTATTGAATTTATCATGTCAGATATAAATACAGATATAAGTGTACTATGAACATAGAAAATACAAGCAAATAATGTGAAAATAACACTCAAAATACTAACCAATCATGCCAGCCAATTAGCTACTACAACCCTCAAACAACAAGTGAAAAATAAAATCGAAAGGTTCATCGAACCAAAAGCAAGAATGGTCAATGTGAAAAGTATAACGAGCAAAACAACGAGTAACATCATTGGCTTAATGACGAACATGAAGAGCATACCAAGTAAAGCAATGGACAACGCCATGTGGCTTAGCAACCAACTTCAGTGATCTCCGACAACAAAACTTTCAAATATCCAACATGAACAAAAGAATCACACCTCCAATGGTGCTCACAACACAAATATGTTGTAAACTTATATCCAACAATTCAAGGTTGAATTGGATCCTACTTTAAACCATGGATACTCATTAGTTATAAAATCGATTGAAGCAATTATGTAATTTTTTTTTGTTTAAGAGATCCAACGTATCTTGCACGGTGACACACACACACACAACTTGGTGACAATTTTGTTTGCCAATGATATCTTCATATTATTGCATAAATTAAGAGTTAGTGCTGCAAAGGTCACTTGAACGTTTCTGAATTCATGGTCACATGCTTGTAAGCCGTTTTTATCTCATTCATGAAGTAATCAGATCAAACTTATCAATTGGAAATTATTTAACTAAAAGAATCTTCACTTTCCGTATTGCTTGACATGTTTGTTGTCAGACTGAGAATCTTAACTAAACATCATACATAATTTACCTAATTAACGATTAATACATAGTCTGACAACATAACATTTCAAATTACTTAATCAAGCGAAAATCGAGACATGATTTTCATGGGAGAAGACAAATATATCAAAGTTTAAAAAATAAATAAATAACAAAGGCGTAAAAAGATGACTTGACCTCAACGTTACTACCATTTTGTTTTGTGCCGCCATAACAAGTAACTATCCAAAAAGTAGGTGAAGCCGAATATTCTGTACCTTCTGTTTGGTTATGATTCATTGATTCTTGTCGGCAGACAGCATAACCAAACTGGAACAAGCCACACTTTACACATGCTTGTATGGTTGTATTAGCTGTTATTGTTTTTGATATGCAGCAGCAGCCACGGGAAGCTGCTACACCTTTTCATCGACAACAACTTGTATAACACGGGCCGTCACGTGCCAGTAATACAAGGATACGTAAAGAGAAATTACGATATCTTTTTGTATTATTAGCATGTGACGTCACCGTGACAGTATGCCCGTGCAGCCATGCTATACAAGTCATCCTGTCCATTTATAACAAACCACAACAGATATTACACATGAAATAAAATCAAACTTCTTATTTATTAACCTCCCTTTTATGCATACATTTTGAAAAAATTCAAATCCGAAAATTAACATATGTTACAAAACCGGCCGAAAGACAGCTTCCCTAATCATTCACTAATTACGGAAGTTCTTAATTGCTTAAGTCAAGAAAATGTACGTAACAATTTACAAAAAGCAGGTAAATCAATCAGTAACAATCCTCTTAATAAGCCAAGAAGCAGAGAAATAGGGCGACCATTTACCACTGATTCGGGAAGGCTTCTCGGTAATTTGCATCCTCGCCCAATGTAAGTTGTCTTACAGTTGCAGCACTTGCTCGCGTATTCAAAATCCTCCGAGCTAATCTATCTTTTGGTGTCTCTTTCTTCTGCAGCATGGAGGCAAGGGTTTTCTTTTTGTTTCTGAATGACGGGTTCCTACTAGTACTTGGCTCCCAATCTTCTCCAATAAATGCAGATTTAGAAGTTGAAGCGATTGCAGAATCTCGTAAAACCGCTTCATTGTGTTCTCTTATTTTGGCAAGCTTAGCACGCTTCAGTGCCTTTTTATCTATTTCTCTCTTCCTTGCCAACTCTTTATCTTTCTCACGAACATTCTGCACGGCTTGTTTCGTTAACTGCTGTACTAAATTGGTCCCTAAATCAGGAGCCTTCTCATCTTTTGGAGGGTTCTGATTCAGTGGCTTTCCCTCATCATCTCTGGGAATAACAGGTCCATGAAATGGGCAAATTCTCATGTCTCTTCTTGGACAAAGTTTTCCATTGCTTAATGGTGCTCGGCATGGCTGAATTTCAACCTGCTTTTCCTTGTACACAGTAGCCTGAAGATTTAATTCCGCAATCTTTTCTACTGGAATAACTGCATCCTGATCCACCCTGCCCCAATGACTTTCAAGCTCCAACCCCCGATGGTTAGCCAATACATCCATCTTTGAACCCCAACTGGCCAAATGATTGCTCCAGTTCACCTCAGGAGCTTCAGCCAGAAGCTTACTTCTCAGAGGGTCTGAATTGCTTCCCCCACCTTCGTGACTGCGCCTCTTATTGGCATCGCTCTCCTTATCATGGCATTTAGGAATGCTACCTTGCACCTCCTTGGATGTTGATGTCACAGCAAGACCTCCAGTTCTGTTATTGGGAAGACTAAAATTCCCACCCTCAGTTGTTTCGATCTTGCCTTCCTCCCAAAAATCTTCTTCCTCGTGCTTTGCAATGTTTGAAAGATTGCATCCCAATTCTTCACACTTCTTCTTCACTGATTGAATATTATTCCGGATATCGATGAACTCCTTCAAATACGAATCCCTGGATCTGTTATCAGTCAGTTCAACTTTTACAAGAACAAGGATCCATTCTTGCACTGCAGTCAAATGCTTTACCAATATCTTGTAAAGCTCCCGCAGGGCATCAAAAACCACTTTGTTTTCACTATTCTCATGAAGCTTTTCTCCTTCTTCCAATGCTTGTAAGCGCAACTGCCGGAACTCATAAGAATGAAACTCTTCCATATCTTCCTCATCTAATGGACAAAACGGAACTCCTTCCTCTTTAGGGCGTACAATTTCTAAACACTCCCCAATCTCATCAACAGTAGATTGAATTTCTTCCTTAATTGACGCAAAATTCTTTTCCAAAATCTCAAACTTTTTCAACAAGATCTTTTTCGTCTTCCTCTCCCTTTCCCTTCTCTCCTGTTGAAGCCGAGTCGCAGTTTCCTGTAGATTTGGGAACTGATACTTAAGGGTGTTCTTAAGGTAATCAAACCCTAACCTAATCTGCTTATAGTGAACCCCAAACGAAGAATTCCACTTCTCCAAAAACTCTATCGCCTTCTTACGCAGAGCAGTCGCAACATTTGCCGGAGGTGGGAGTGACGAATGTATTCTAAATCCGACACTTAAAGTCAATAACTGATCCAAATTTTCCACAACAAGGGTTCGAAATAGCTTTGATCTCATAAAAAGCTCATCAATGATAAGAAGTGTGAGGTAGCGCACCTGCAAAATTTATATATTTCATCAAAAACTTCTCTCCCATAATTCAACTGATAGTACCAACTGAAACCCTAAACTTTTAACACCCACCCAAACAAACAGAGATTAAACAACAATTTCTAACCAAATTGAACAGCTTACTATCCAATTTTTTACCATTATTTCCTATAATTTCAGAAAAATGAAAAGGACACGTAATTTAACTAGATGTTGATTGGTAAATCGAATTTTCCCTTTCAAAATTTCTCGGCAACCAAACACAAGCTAGAAAATAAACCCTAGAAAAATACACTACAAACTACAAACAGCAACGGAGAAATTAAATATAAGGATTTGAATTTTTACGGAAGAAAGAGAGTTTCTATGCACGAAAGGACCTGAGAGTGTTCGCGCTTCATAAGATCCATGAGAATACGAGCGGCGAGTCGGAGCTCCGAATCGGAGTATCGGACAACCGACTTGATGGCCTTGAGGAGGTGTGGGTCGACATCCGGTTCGGTCGAGATCGTCGCCGTCTCTATCAAAACCCTAACCTTCCCTCCTTCCTCTTCTTCCATTGTTTCTCAATTCAACCACGCAGAGATTGGAAGCTTCTTTGAATTTTCAAAATTCGAGGATAATATATAGTTTGTGGATTTGGGTATTTTACGCGCTGAGCAAGAAAGGGTAAAATGTCACAATCCGAAGTTATGAGGGGCACGATATATATGAGACTTTGCAATTTAGAGACCCTCCAATTTTTCTTAAATTATTTTGTTGGATAGCATGTTTTAGAAATTTGCAAATCCGAAAGCCCGCTTATCCCAGTTCAAACCCAACTTGTATTTGGGTCATTTTAATGAAGATATTTTCTTCGACCCAAAAGAATCTAAGGCCCATCTTAAATCAAAAGAATGTGATTTTAATTTAAGGATTTTAGTAAAAATGGCTTCAGGAGTTTGAATCTTAATCAAAAGAATTCAAACGATTTTATTTTATGGTTAGGCAAAATTCAATATCAAACCAGCCCAACTACAATAGCTGACTGAGTTTTCAATTTTTCCCCTGACAATTTTTGGCCTAGTTCGTTTTCTTTTCCATTAGTTGTGTGACGTCGCACAACTAACTTGTATATAAAATGTGATCCTTTTCAAATAGCTCAGATCTTAATAGATTTGAACTCTCGAACTGCATCAAACACTTCATTATCCAAGTCAAGTCAATTAAGCTTAATTTTTGAAGCGAATCCAATCTGAACTAGTTCGCTGTAATAAACGAGGCCTACAAGACTTGGGGACCAAGGCACACCTATCTTGAAAGTTAGTGGACCTAGAAATGGTTAAGGGCCCAAACTCGTTTGGTTTGGGCCCATTAGTTAATAAGAGTACTGGGGACGGCAAAAATAAAAAATATGTCCCGCTATCTCCAACATGGATCCGGTGAAATTGAATTCCCCATGAAGATGCGGAGTCGCAATGGCGAGACGCTAAGACCCTTCTTACTCAAATGTGTATGATAGGTGTGAGGTAGTGACACACAATAACCAATCCGAAAAGACCACTCTTTTGTATAAGGATGCCTAACTTAGTATGCATCGATAATTCGCGCAGGGAGAGGCGGTGATTGTTTTAGATTTTAATGTTGCAGGATATTGGTATTTAAAAGAATGAATTAGTTGGTGTTTTAGAATTTAATGCAGCAGCCTGCAGGAGATTAGTACTTGGTTGGTTCATCAAAGATCGGATCAAGTTCACATGTGTTGGGGACAGAATACTAGGTTGATGCATGTATGTTGTTCTTCCACGTTTCTCTAATAAACAATACAAAAAAAAGTAAAAATAAAAAATAACTATAAAATAAAATAAAATTAAGGCTTAATTGAGTTTTATTAGAGATCGTCTCATCGTCATGCGACTAATCCATATTTAGTCCAACATAATATAAAACCCGCTCCTTAATCTCTCAAACATTGTCCGTGGACCCTGATGATGGTGTTGAAACAAAAGAAAAGCCATGTGCTCATAAATGCATACATCAAATTTTATGTTTTGCCTTAATGTTTCTCTCCCCTCCGAATCTCACTCATCTTTCTTCATTTTTAATTTAAACAGTTACGATTAAGTCATTTCAATATCTTATTTTGAATTTTTTATTTAAAAAAAAAAAAGACAGAATGGAAAGTGTGAGAGGAGGGAGGGATGATTATGGTAATAGGAGGGGAGTGTGGAATACGTGAAACTCACATACCCATCCTAACCCGCCTAAGTCGCGATTCTCACTTAAAAAGTAATTATATAATTTTCATTTTGCATTTTATTTTATTTTATAATAAATTTTAAGAGACTTGTGAAATACGTAAATGAGCACACATTATATATTTGTTTTCCATGTTTTCATTATATTATAATACTTTATAATCTATATGTCATTCTATTTTTGCAGTTTATGTCTCTTAATGAAATCATGTACTTTTTAAGTATAAACAAATATTTATTTATATGATATATAATAAATTTACTTAAATCTGCCTAGTCTACCTAGACCCCGTTTAAACCCATCTAACCATTTAGGTGTTGTGCCTCAACCCACCATTTGACTAACACTTAACGTCTTTTAGAACCTTGATGGGTATTAATCAAAAAAATCAGAATATTTACTAACTATTAAGATTCGTGTGAGAGTTCATATTCTACGAAACAACACTAAATCGTACACCTAAAGTTGGTGAAATATTAATAGCAAATTTATTTAAGTATGAGTGTAATTTTTATGGCTACTTAAGATGGGTGTTTGTACGTGTATCTACCTACCTACGGACTACAACGACTGTCACCAACTTAGGCCATGGTCCAGTTTACAACTATACGAGGAGGAATGAGGATTCTATTTGTGAGGATTTCAGAAATTTTTCAATTACATTCGTTCATCATATATTGTATAATCAGAAATTATTATAAATCTTTTTATTTAAAATTAAATATAAATAATATCTGATAAAAATTAACCGTATGATATATGATAAATAAATGTAATTAAAAGATCTTCGAAATCTTCACAAAAATGATCGAGAAAAAATCCCCATTCAACAAGGAGGGGAGGACAGTGGGCACCACCGAAAAACAAACCCTTTAACAGCATTAAAATATCAAGCCTAGGGTCATCATCTAATTGTAGTGAAGTGGTGACACAACCCATGTTCCAATGTTGTCTGCACATAAATAATTACCATGCTTTGTATTCACCCTCCCACCACTTTTAACTTTTAATTTTCTTTTACACCTACAATAAACCCAACATATCTTCGAGAGAATTTTGCTTTTCTCTTTACTATCCATCCTAGCTTACGTGTAATATTTTGGGACACATGCGCTTATGTGACATAATTATTTAATTAAATTGTAAAACTTGGAATTTATTGTGAAATACAATATGAATGCAACACGTATAAATGTAGAAGGGAGCAAACTAAAATAGACTTAGGTGAAAAAGTATTATAAAGGTGAAAATTTTCCTTCATGCATGTAAAATGTTGTCGAATCAAAACGTTTATATATAGAGACTCAGACCAAATGCAAGATCAAAAATTAGAAAGTGATAATACAATCTCTCTCCTTTCTCTTTATCTGTATTCATTATCTAATACAATTACTGTGGAGCCAAACATAATCAAGAGGCGACACGGGATTTTTGAGAAAAAATGACAAAATTACCCTTGAGGAACATCGAAATTCCTACGCGCAAGCAGTGGGCAAACATCCCACAATCAAGTCAAAAGTTCCCAAAATAGGTAACAATTCAAAACCTATTTCATCCATTTTCTCTACAAGGTAACCCCCAAAACATTCATTTTAAATTATGTTAATTGGCTAATTAATGAATTTATTACCTAATTAATCTATTAATGGCCAATTAAACTATCAATTACACCAAAAAAATACACAAGAGGCCGGTCACCTTCTCTCCAAAGGGACCGGCCATGCCCTATATATACCATCTCATTTTCTCTAAAAAACCTAATCTCAATTCTCTTACTAAACTCTCTAAATTCTTCAAACATTTTTCCCTCAAAATTCTAACTTTGGCATTGGAGGTTTTTCGGCCAAAGCCCCCCTATTCATCATGGGCGTTTGAGATTCTTGACCTTGACTTAAGATGTTATTTGTTTTATAAGTGTAATTTTGTCCAAAAATAAGAAATAAGAAATTTGCTTCCACAATTACGAAAACAAACGTTCTCTTTCGTGCTTTCCTACTACAACAAATTGTCTTGTTCAATTATTCAAAACATTAAATATTATCGACTAATCTTATCATAGCGCGTAAAATAATAAAATATGACGTGACCTTTTATTCTACCACAAGGGACAATTTTGCGAAGTTTCCATGTGAAAGCCAGTAAGCACGAAAGAAATAAGGGAAGAAATAAACAATGGGAGGTAGTTGGCACACAACACAGGGAAGGAGACAAGCCACAGGTGTCGTACGTGATCGTATTGTGCTTGCCAAACCCACATCGTAATATTTGGAAAATGACATCGTCTTTTCTCCTGCTCACACTCCAATCACTACGTGCATCCATGTGCTCCTCTTCACTTGTGTAACTCAGATGACACCTATTTTGTCATTCTCTCATATCCAAACACCCCCACATCCCAGAAAATCTTCCCTACTCCAAAAACCTCCTCATGATTTTTCATGTAATCAGAACACAAGTTGATAAATTTTACGTTATGTGTTATAAGTTTAAAAAAAAAAAATATATATATATATATATATTAGCGTTCTCTCACGTGTATTATAAAACATAATCTAACAGCTTCTGAAAAGATTAAAAATCTAAACAATTCTTACAACAAACTCTCAAGTTCATAATCAATTCACATCGTACTAGCGTTCTTCAGCAATTGAGAAAGGGGTTTTGAACTCAAACTTGTTCTAATTTTGGCTGACTAATGAAAAGTATCACTACACTAAGAACTAAGTTGTCAGTCGTCGTTCAATTTTTTTTTCAATTGTTGGAGGGGATTACAAACTCAAAACCTTCTCTTAATTTTTGCTTCAATTGTTGACCCATAAAAAAAGAAGTGTGTCAAATAATATTGAATTTGAATTTACCCGTTTATATTAGAGTAATAATTTATGAGTAGATAATACATAAACAAAAAAAAACAGCACGTGAGCATTGTAACTTGTAACCTGTAATAAGCAAGCAACACAAAACATCTCAAATCCCACCCTTTCATTTCATCACATCAAATCATCATCCTAATTCCAGCAAGGAAGGTTTGCTTTTCCCCGCTTTGATTTATATTAAATTAAAAATATAAAAATAAAACTCACGGAAATTGGGCATTTCCCGTGCCGCTATCAAAATTAACTAAGCGCACCCACGTGGAGAAAACCCGACCCGGGAACCCGCCAGGTCATACACCACACGGAAACCTTGCTGCTGGATGTTACCAATTATGGACAACCCGCCCATCGTACCCGCGAAAGCAAAGCAGAAGCTGCCGCTGCTGTCCACTGGGATCAGGTAGTTGGTAGCCGGAAGTGGAACGTCGGCGTTTCGGAAATGCAGCACGACCGTGGGAACTTTGACTTCGGTCTTTCCGGACAAGTCGAAACACGTGTCGAACAGAGAGAACTCGGGCCCACGCTTAAGCCCCGAAGTACCTGCCCGGAAAGCATCTCGGAGAGCATTGTAAGCCGATCGGGTCAATCGGGTCACGGAAGTGCCCGAATCGAGGATGACCCCTCCGTTTCCTGCCGGGTCGAGATTGAAAAGCGATGCCGTGATACCCGGGACACGTGTCCCACCGACACTGATACCGATGAGCTCGACGTAGTAAAACGTGTCGAGTTTTGGGTTCGCGAGGAGGGGTGTGAACCGGGCGGTCCGGGAAACGGCCGAGTCACCGAAGAGGACTGAGGACGGTTTGGAAGAAGAGGACCGGTCCACTAGGCAGTAGGAGAATTTCCGGTTGAATTGGGAGCCGGTCTGGGCGGGAAATGATAACTTTCCCCGGCCGAGTCCCAAAAGCCCCGCCGCACCGACGAAGAGGCCCTCGTTGTCGTGACCGCATCCAATCGCCACGCGTCCCACTTTGGTGCCGCGAAACGTCAGCGTTTCGGTTGAGAACTCGCCGACAGTGAAGGAACCGTCCCCGTAGGAGACTTGGTAGAGGCAGGTCTTCTTGGAATTACAGCCCGGCGAGTCGAGTTTCCGGCAGAGGGGGGACCCACAAGGGATTGTGGCGAAGGATCCGGATTTACGTGGGTCAAAAATGGGGTCGGCCTGGGTGTAGCACCGCTTGCAGGGGGCGCATTGGAGCCAAACGACGTCGCTTCCGGTGTCGAGGACCATGTAGACGTACCTGGGAGGCGTGCCGACGCCAAGGCGCGTGAAGTACTCGCCGCTGCCCTGAGAGAGTCCGGAGACGACGGAACTGCTGAAGCCCGTGACAGGCACGTGACCGCCGCCTCTGGTTGTTCTGTTTGAGGACGCCGCGGCGGCGGCGGCGAGGGAGGTAAGGGTTTTGACACGGAAGGCGTCACGCTGGAGGCGGAGGTGGAAGAGTTGGGTGGGGGTTTTGTTAAGCGCCATGGCGTCGATGTGGTGTAATTGTACGGAGAGAGTGTTTGGGGTTGTGGCGGTGGCGGAGGGGGAGTTGGGGTGGAGTTGGGCGGAATCGGATTCGGAGACGGTGTCGGACCATGAGAGGGTGGTGGGTGGGGAGGGGAGGGGGTTGAGGAGGAGGGTCTGGTGGTCGAGGGCGGAGGAGAGGGAGAGGAAAATGGCGGAGAGGGAAAGGAAGAGAAGGGGAAGTATTGCTTTCCCTTCCATTTTGGAGACTGGAGCGTGAGAGAGAGGAAATGGGAGTTTATAGGAAAGTGGGGGTGGAGAGAGGAGGCGTATAAATAATTGGAGTGAGAGAGTGAGGGTGTGAATCGTGAAAATGGTAGTTGTGAGAATGGAGGAGGGAGTGAAGTTAAATCAGTTTTTTTGGTGGGGAGGGTGGAGATGTGAGATCGTCAGATCTATTATGTTATCTAGGAGGGAAATAATGGATAAAGATCCTTTTCAAATTCCTATCGTGAAGATTTGAAGGATTAATTTTTCATATTCGTTTATTGTATATCGTACAGTTTAAAATTTGTACAATGAACATGAATTAATCCTAAAAGTTCGTACAAAGAGAATCCACCTAGATTCTAATCAGGTAATAACATAATCATATAATGTATTATACTAAAATTTCTGCAGAATTTATATATTATTAAATTTATTTATAAAATCAGAGTTGGTAATTTCATGTATATGTTATGAGCATGTTATTTATGGGCAGATGCCCTCATCACAAAATTTATTTTCCAAGATAAAAAAGGATTTGAAATAGACATAAGTGATCAAAGTGTTTAAGTAGTTCATTTGTTTGGATTGATAAAAGTTAGGTTTGTATTAAAAGTGAAGTTATAGAGACTATTTATTCGAATTATATTATGAAGATGGCGTCATATAACAATTGATAATTGAAATTTTTGTATAAATCATTAAAGAAGGTATTCAACCACTATTTTTTTGTTTAAATCATTAAAAGAAGATATTCAGCCATTAACTATCATATTATGTGGTCTACAAAATACAGTCTAAGAAAATGATCTTCCTACCATTTTTCTTGTATTATGATTGTTAATGAATGCTTATATCAACAATAATTAATTGGGGTAATTAGATTGAGTTCAGCTTGCCGGAATAATAGAGAAAATTTCCCTAATATGGTATAGTTGCATAAGATATTGTGTGATAAAAAGCAAAATCCTTCCATTAATCTTGCTTTTAATCACATGGAACCTTTGTCCTATATTTTCTCTCATCTAATCTTACATATAGGCAGTTGATAATAGGATTAAAAACCTTGGGACCATATTTTTCACCTTTTCGGAACAGTGATTCACATGGCAGTGGGTTTTTGTCTCCCCTCCTGTTTGGATGTCATTTTCATCCCCTCTTATTTTGTGCAGTCACGGTTAAGCCACGTCAACATTTTATATTGATTTTTTAATAGAGATAATAAGTGTTGCCTACAAAAATTACAAAACCTACGTGGCGCGCAGGCCGAGTAACTAATGAGCTAACTACGTCCTTCGGTTGAATGCGGGGCGTGCCAACTCGTCGGCCGAGCTCGGCCGAGGAGTAAAATGTGATGTCGCGTTGGGTGCGCTGTTGACTTCTGCATCTTGTGATTGCGACCGAGGAAGGAACGCTCTCGGCCTCTGAGTTCTATAGCCTGAAGACAAGGCTACTAATTCTACGGAGTTCACAAGTCGTCGGACCCTGATTCGGTCACTGTGATTATATTCGTAAGAGTATAAGCATGCCGAATCGAGACCAAACTGTATGGGCACAGGTACTCGAATGTGATGTATGTCTTGATGGTAAACGTAGTTCGGCCGTCGGAATGCCAAACCCTGAAGCTTACTTGCGAGTATCCAATCATAAAACCACTCGGCGTCCAATGCGCCGAGCAATGCAATTCGTAACACCCAACTATGCCGGAAAGGCTTAGTAGGATGACCTCTACCAACAAGAGTTCGAAAACCCTTCTCGGCCGAGACTTAGATAGATAATCGGTCGACCTCGACGCAGTGCTGTTTATCCAAACTGAAGGTGCTCCTCGGTCGGCGGATTCTGCGGCAGCAGTGCTGTTTATCCAAACTGAAGATGCTCGCCGGGTGCCTCCACAGTGTTGTTTATCCAAACTGAAGATATGTTGGCAGGAAAGGAAAAGGAAAAAATCTCAAGATGTTTGAGAGGTTTTGCGCAGGGCAATTGTGTGCTGATTCTGAAGGCCTTTTCTATTGCGTAATTTCTTGTATTTATAGCACCTCATTCCCTGAAACCCATTCGGATTTGGATTGGGAGTCCTTGTCCCATTTTACCTCTAGCTCGAACAATCCTACCTCCTCTGGGACTCTGAATTCTCCTCCTTTTGAGGCTTTATTTCTTGCTGGTCGAGAATCCTGGTCGCACCAGGACTTCCTCGATCCCTCTACTCATCTAGACCTCTTAGGATAGGATTCGGCCGACCTTGCCAGCTGGCCCGGGTTTTATTATTCGGCCCATAGTATTTGTCATTACCTTGGGCCGAGCACATCCTGCTGCTCGGCCCTAATCATAATATTTTGGGCCCAAACATTGCCTCCTCGCTTCTGAGGTCGCCGACTGTCACTCTTGGTCGGCTCTCAGCCTTGAAGAAGCGAAAACATTTATTGCTTTTTTGGACCTTACTTCATTAATGACCATTATTCCTGCATGTTTATGAGAAATGATTGCACCTTCCTCGTTGCCCCCAACGCGTGGCCACGTGTCAATCTTCCGCCGTTCTTAAAAGCTTCAATCATGGGCCTCGAAACCGTGCACTGACTGAACCGTCTTATCCTCATTAATACATTGAAACTGTCGCCGCACGCCATCGTGCGTCCTGGATTTTCGACTCCTCGATCACATTTTCGTAGGTTCCCAAAATATTCGAAATGATTGCAGACTTTCCCGGTTAAATTTCCCCCCACTTTGAACCAACGCTTTTCGAATTCCAGTGCCTTTCGAAATTCAGGCGTTTGATCTTCAATCTGAAAAGCCTATAAATACCCACACTTTACTCTATTCGTATCTTACGCTTTCAGAAATCCCAAACTCTCAAATTTTAATCATCCTTGCTCGTTCAGACCAAACCCTCTAGTTTTCCTTTCTGCAATCTTTCCAGTTCTTCCAGATTACTCTAATGGCCTCCTTTATCGCGAAACTTTCCGATGAGATCAACAAGTGCAAAGACTTCATTGATCGGAGCACCGTCAAGATGCTGCGATTTGAAGAGGACATGGCCATCACCCACCAGATTCTGGGTCCCCTCTTCAGAGACGCAGTGCCGTCGTCTGTTACTGACCTGCTCAAGGAGCAGTGTTTAACACCCCTGCTGCAGGGGTTCGACTGGTCAAAGTGGACTCTGGCGCGGCCTCAGGGAGCCTGGCCCTCGACCACCACGGCTTGGGCTGCCTGGGTCGACCGGATGAGTACATTCTTCTCCAAAGAGTGGAAGGCTCTTGGCATCTATGATGCCATTATTCTGTCAACCATGGAGATTGCCATGGATAAGGAGCTGCTCCTGGCGGCCCTGAGTCTATGGTGTTTGGCCACCAACACCATGGTCTTGCCCTTCGGCCCCATCAGCCCTACAATCCTCGACGTCTCGGCCATCCTTGGGACTTCCCCGACCGGCCTTCCCATTGACGCCGCCCTTTCTGGATACCCTTCTCCTCTCGACCTGAAGGCGCTATTCGACGAAAGGGCCGTCGAAACACTAAGCCGGGGTGATCGGGAGCCCTCAAGGGAAGAAGTTCAAAAGCTCCACAAGAACTTCTTCAACTACAACACCCTCATCCTGCATTTCGCCGGTCGAGGCGAGGAGGGCCTGAGGATGGGAGAACACGAGGCCTTCCTCTTCTACTGGTACAACAAATTCATCTGTTGTACCAGGTCAAACAAGTGCCTGGTGGAGAACATGTCGGTGGCCCAGGCACTGGCTAATGGTCGCTTGCTGGCGCTCAGTCCAGCCATACTCGCCAACCTCTACCGTTGCCTGGCTGAGGCGACCATTGGCAAGATTGACCCGCACCAGAACGGACCCCTCTGGGTGTTCCAACTCTGGTTGCAAGTCTACTTTTCCACCCTTCGACCGGAGGTTCCTGCCTTCGACCGAACGGCCGCCCTCGGCCTTCAACTGGCCTCTCGACCGGCACCTCCTCACCGAGCCGACGAGGTCTTCAAACACTTCCTCAGCCTCGACGTCCTCTCGGATGACGAGTTCCTGGTGTGCCGGCACTAGGAGTACCCTTCCTCGCTCAGGCTTCCAACGGCAGCGTGGGCCGCGTCCGAGGATGCGGACATTCGTCAGCGCTGGGGGTCGTTCGTTTTGGCTCGCGACCTTCCACTGGGTTGCGATGCCCGTCGGGCTGGCTGGGAGGTCTACCACCCCAATTTTGTCGCCCGGCAGCTCGGCTATCTCCAAGGCAGCCCCGTCCCCCTGCTCGCTTCTCGGTCGCTCCTGAGTCGGGGGCGTCTTACCGGTTCCTCTGAGAGGGAGTGCAAGACGTCCGACCAGGAGTTCCAAGAGAAGTGCAGGAAATTCCGGATTCGGCCGGCGGTTCCTGAATCTCTGGGAACCGACACCTTCGGGGACTGGTGGGAGGAGTATACTGGCGACTTCTTCGGTGCCCCGGCCGAAGATCTGGTGAAGAAGATCTTCGGTGACCGTCCACGGTCGACGTCCTCGGGTCCACCTAAGGAGCCGGCCCAAGGTAGTCTTTCCGCTTTTCTTCTCCTTTCTCTTTTTACCACTTGATCCTCGTTACTAATTACTTTGCTTTTCAGGGGGTCGCGTGCCGAGGAAGGTGGAGGTGGTCGCCGCGGTGGCGAAGGCGAAGAAGTTGGTGAAGAAGACCATCGCCACTAAGCGGGCAGTTCCGGCCAAACGCCTCCACCGAGAGGCTGAGCCGGAGGTTGATGCCCCTCGCCCTTCTAAACGCGTCAAGAAATTGGCGAAGAAGGGCGACCGGGAAATTCATGTCGTCCCTAGTGACACTACAGGGACGGCTGCTCCTGCCGGCTCTCCTCCTTTGCCAGGTGCCCCGACTCCTCCAGCCGTCTCTCCTCCTGAGGCCACGGCCGACCCCATCGGCGAACCAGCTACTGCTCCAGAGCCGGTCGTGGCGCCTGCCGCGGGGAAGTCGGCTGCCCCTGTCGTGGGACCTTCTTCTCCAACGGTCATCCTGGAGGTACAATTCTGCTTTTACCCTTGTTCCTTTAGGTTTTTTGGTCGTAACGCAGAACGTTTTTTTTTTCTTTTTGTTCAGGATGTCGAGAGCGAGAGCGAGGAGATCCCCCTGGAACGCCGTCGCCGACCGGTTAGCTCTCCTCCCGTCCGTCCTCCTCCGGCGGTCGAGGCGGCCGCTCGACAG